TTCAAATTTGTTTTCGAACCGTCGATATATGAATGGAGCAGCTACCAACCCCGATTTTAATGTGCTAGCTTATGCGGGCGCACAAGTGAAACGTGCGTTAGATGCAACGATTGCCTTAAATGGAGCGACGTATGTTTTTTGGGGGGGGCGTGAAGGGTATATGAGTTTACTCAATACCGATATGAAACGCGAAAAAGAGCATTTTGCGCGCTTTTTAGGGATGGCCAGAGATTACGCACGTCGCAATGGCTTCAAAGGGACGTTTTTGATCGAACCAAAACCCATGGAGCCTTCTAAGCATCAATATGATTTTGATAGTGAAACGGTGATTGGTTTTTTGCGTCATTATGATTTGGCAGGGGATTTTAAAATTAATGTCGAAACCAATCACGCCACGCTCTCAGGGCACACCATGCAACATGAATTGCAATGTTGTATTGATGCAGGCCTATTAGGTAGTATGGATGCTAATCGCGGAGATTATCAAAATGCATGGGATACGGATCAATTTCCGATTGATTTGTATGAAACGGTTGAAATGATGTTGGTTTTGGGGCCGTGGGGTGGTTTTACCGAAGGCGGGGTCAATTTCGACGCGAAGGTGCGTCGTAATTCAACAGATCCTGAAGATATTTTTGTGGCTCATATTGCAGGAATGGACACCTTTGCCAGAGCTTTGGTCACAGCTGAAAAAATCATTCAAGAGTCCGACTACACGCAAATTCGAACCAAGCGCTATCAAAGCTTTGATCAAGGAGAAGGCGCGCGTTTTGAAAAAGGTGAACTGAACCTTGAAGCCTTACGCTTGATTGCCGAACAATTGGGCGAGCCTGCCATTACCAGTGGCAAGCAAGAAAAACTTGAACAGATGATAAATCAGTATTTGTAGGGTTGGTAGCTAACACCGATGTTATTGAGATGATGCCAATATGCCCAAATTTTAAAGACCAAATTTGAAGCCCAAAGTAGATCAAGCGATTGATTTTTTTTGCAATTGTTATTGATATGATTGATATTTCATGAGCTGTGCATTTTTTACGACTCTTTGTTTTGTATGGGCATTGCCAATGTCGTCGATTCGCATTCTGGACATCGAAATGTAATGACCATGTTACACTAAGATTTCTATGGTTGTTTTGTTTATCTATTTGATTTAAATGAAATTAATATTAACTGACTTCAAAAAAATTTTATGAATTATTTTAAAAATCAAACGATAGCAATTTTCTGCGGCACGCTATTTTTTCTGGGTGCATGTGGTCAACAAAACTCTGTCGTTAGCAATGAACAGCAGACAACAATTGCAGCATTGACCGATACGAATACTGTTGTGATTGATGTGCGAACTCCTGAAGAATTCTTAACAGGACACTTGCAAAAGGCAGTTAATGTGCCATATGATGAAATTGATAAAAAAATCAGTGATATCGTGCCAAACAAAAATCAAACGGTATTTTTATACTGTCGCAGTGGTCGCCGCTCTGGTATCGCCTTGAAAACGATGCAAGATATGGGCTATAGCTCTGTTATCAATGGCGGTGGCTACGATACACTCAAGGCAAATGGTGCCCAATAATCCTATTTCGATATCAGCCGTGCGCCATGTCATGCCTCACCCCATTTTTATCTTCAGAGAGCATGCGGGCGATTCTATAACATTTTGTTTTACAACAGATATTGGTAATCACCGAACAGGGGTTTTGCCGGGTGGTTGTGCAATGATCTCTAGTCAATGCAAGACAATAGGCGTGACAACCTGTGCGGTAGAAGTCGATACGGAATGACTTGTCGCTTAGCCAACATCTTTGTTGCTGCTTCACATTTCCGAATTAAAGAAGGGGCGTTTTGTAGGTTCTACCTCTGGCAAGTTAAGGTTGTGACGTAAAAAAACCGCTCATTTTTTTGAGCGGTTAAAAATGAACGAATATCCTGACTCGGTCATCGGGTTATGGTTTATCGGCGATGAAGTTACCACAGCCTTTTAACGACTGATTTTCTAGTTGGATGGTGACGTTACTGAGATAATGAGTCGTATCACTTTGGTTGGATGATTTGCAATCACCTTTGGTAATGGAAATTTGCGTAGGATATTTTTTGTCCCCCTCAATCATCTCACCATTTAAATTGGTAATCGAACCGCTTACATCTGCTGTTTGCATCATCGTTAATTGCCCCCAGATTGTACGCCCCCCACCGTCTAGGCTGAGCCTGACTTTGCTTTGTGGTGAAGTGCCGTTGGGATCCATTCTAAAAATGGTTAAATCCCATGGTAGCGTATTGTCGATTTCGCCGTTTCCATCATAGAAGTTCGTTGAGCTATAGGTTTTTTTGGCAACACAATCACTATACATCGCTGTGTTATCGCTGTTTTTTTCA